GGGGATCCCCCCAACGTCCATGATTTCTGCACTAGACGGACGAACGCAGCCATCTATGGCAGGATAGCTGCCAGCCTGCCCACCAAAGGCCACATGTGAACCCAGGAGCAGGTTTGCATGACAATCAAGTTGGTCCAGCGAGACCCCCATCTCTGAGCACTAAGCTTCCCCTCCCCCTTCTTCCCCTTGCTTCTCCCTTCCACCTCCTCTCGCCAGTCTCACCAGAATTTCATTCTCTCCCCCCCCCCCGTTTTGTTAAATAAAGAGAGTTTCTATTTTTGAAGACACGTGTCCTTTATTTTTTACATCAGGAAGGGTGGCTAGAGAGGGCTAAGTGGAAGAAGGTAAGGGAGGAATGGGGCACGAGCCCCCAATGGGGAGGACTGGGGTGGCTCTGCGGGCTCCTCGGAGTAGAAGCTCTCCTGCAGGGCCTCCTGGATCTGGACAACCCCCCGATTGACCCCCCCAGATGGCAGCCTGCGGCAAGTGCAGCCGGGCTGATGGCTGAGTGCTGTGATGTGCCGAGTGTGGGCACTCAGGGCACTCCAAGACAGGACTGCTTTGCTGTCCCTCATCAAGGAAGACAAGCAAGTGGGGAACTCTGAGAACTGTCTGTCTGGGGTGGGGGTCGGGTTCCTTTAACCACAGCCCTCGGCTAGCCTGAGGCAGCAGCTCCACACTCCAAGTCCTAACCTGATGCCCTGCTGGCACTGCTTCCGGCCAGCCTTAACTTCGGTTCAGGGTCCACTCAATTAGCTTTTAGGTCTAGATGCACTAATTCGAATTAGCTTCGTTCAAATTAACTAATTTGCATTAAGTTAGTTCGAATTAGTGCTGTAGTGTAAACATACCCAAAGTGAGTGAAAATGAGAGAACATTGTGAAGGAGGCCATGAGGGAAGGAAGCAAGGCAAGAAAGACACAAAGTAGGGTGTGAGGGAAGAAAGCAAAAGAGCAAAGATGCAAAGGAGGCTGCGAGGGAAGGCCGTGAAGGAGGATAGACATGTAGGAATCCATGAGAGAAGGCTGGGAAGGAGGAAAGACATGTAGGCAGGGGCGGCCCTTCTATATAAGCGAACTAGGCAGTCGCCTAGGGCGCCAAGTTAAATGGGGCGCCAAATGGTGGCGCAATATCATTGAGGGGTTTGGAGGTGGGGGAGCCGATTGCATGGTTCGCCTAGGGCACCAGTTGCTGGCAGCTAGTCTAGTGCTGCCCCTGCGTATAAGAACCAATGATGGAAGGCTGGGAAGGAGGAAAGACGTGAAGGAATCCATGAGGGGAGGCTGAGAAGGAGGAAAGACGTGAAGGATGTTGCGAGGGCAGGACGTGAGAAGGAGAAATGCATAAGAGGCAGGGGCACCATTTCAGATGGGGGGGATGACTGAGGACAGAGGCTTTAGCAGTGTTACTGAGCATGCTCAGTATAAGCCAAACAGCAAATTGAGGGGGACTGATCCCATCTGCCATCCCACACTCACATGACCTCTATGTAGGGGCTACTAAGGCAATGGAATATTCTAATTCTTTTGGCAGACAACTTAGCAGTTAGCTGGCAGGAACACTGTATGTAATTCCTATATAAAATAAAGAACATTAAATAAATATTAGACCCACTCAGCTCTAACACTAATATAGTCTGACATCTTGTGGCAAGTCACTTAAGGGACACTAGTTAGCCTTAAAATGTTAATGTATAATCTTACTTTGTTACTAATTCTGTGGCGAGGGAAAGACCCCCATCAGGACTCCAGGCTTTACCTCAGCTCTGGAAGGGGAGTGGGGTCTAGTGGGTAATAGCAGGGGGAAGATACATTTCTGCTCTACAATAAGAACATCAGAATGGCCACCCTGGCTCAGACCAAAGGTCCTTCTAGCCCTGTATCCTGTCTTCCAACAGTGGCAAAGGCCAGGTGTTTCGGAAGGTATAAACAGAAGAGGCAATCCTCATGATCCATCCCATTCCCAGCTTCTGGCAAACAGAGGCTAAGGATACTATTCCTGCCTATCCTGGCTAGTAGCCATTGATGAACCTAACCTCTTTGAACTTATTTTATTTTATTGGAACCCTGTTATGGTTTGAGCCTTTCCACCATCTCCTGGCAAAGAGTTCCACAAACTGACTGGAGAAACACACAGAAGGTTGTGAGGAAAGGACGCAAAGGAGCAAATACATGAAGGAAGCTGAAAAACAAGAAGGTGGCCATGAGGGAAGGCTGAGAAGGAGGACAGATGTGAAGGAGGCCACCAGAGAAGGCCACAAAGAAGGAAAGAAACAAAGGGGGCCATGAGAGAAGAAAGTGAAGGAGTAACAACATGAAAGAGGCTATGAGGGAAGGAAGCAAAGGAAGAAAGACACGAGGGAAGGAAATGAAGGAACAAAGACATGAAGGAGGCTATGAGGGAAGGATGAGAAGGAGGAAATATGCAAAGCAGGCCACAAGTGAAGGGTATGAAGCAGGCTGGTCCTGCTTTGGGCAGGGGGCTGGACTTGATGACCTCCTGAGATCTCTTCCAGCCCTATGATTCTATGATTCTGAGAGGAAAGGCTGTAAAGTAGGAAAGACAGAAAGGAGGCCAAGAGGGAAGACCATGAAAAAGAAAAGACATGAAGAAGGCCGAAAGTGAATGGTGGAAATACGTGAGGAAGGACGTGACAGAAGGCTGCAAAGCAGGAAACATGCGAAGCAGGCCATGAGGAAAGAAGGATGTGAGGGGGAGAAATGCATCGGAGGCCAGGAGGGAATGCCACAAAGGAGGAAAGACTCAAAGAAGGCCAGAAGGGAAGGATGCAAAGAATGAGACATGAAGGAGGCCATGAAGGAAGGACATGAGGAGGAGAAAAGCATAGGAGGGCATGATAAAAGGCGATGAAGGAGGAAAGACTTGAAGGAAGCTAGTACAGAAGGCTGTAAAAAAGATGCAAAGGAGGCTGCAAGGAAAGAACATGAGGAGGAGAAACTCATAAGATGCCTTGAGCAAAGGAAGTGAAGGAGGAAAGACATGAAGGAGGTTGCAAGGGAAGGCTGAGAAGGAGGAAAGATATGAAGGACTCCTGAAGAGAAGCTCATGAGAAGGAGAAACAAGTAAGAGGCCATGTGGGAAGTCTGTGAAGCAGGAAAGACACAAAGAAGGCCAGGACAATGACGAGAAGCTTCCAGATCACAGGCCCTAGTTCTCATGGGGGACTTCAATCACCCTGACATCCACTGGGACACCAATACAAGAGTGCACAGACAATCCAGGACATTTTTGGAGAATGCTGGGGACAACTTCCCAGTACAAGTGCTGAAGGAACCAACCAGGGGCCATCGTCAGCTCAACCTGCTGCTCATAGCCACGGAGGAATTGGTAGGGGAAGTAGGTGTGGGTGGAAACCTGGGCAGCAGTGATCATGAGATGGTTGAGTTCAGGATCCTGACAAAAGGAAGAAAGGAGAGCAGTAAAATACAAAACTGGGACTGCAGAAAAGCAGATGTTGACTCCCTCAGGGAACTGCTGGGCAGGATCCCCTGGGATGCTAATATGAAGGGAAAAGGAACCCAGGAGAGCTGGCAGTATTTTTAAAAAGCCTTATTGAAGGCACAGGAACAAACCATCCCAATGTGCAGTAAGAAAAGCAAATATGGCAGGCGACCAGCTTGTCTTACCAGGGAAAGAAGAGAAAGGCATAGGCCTTGAGGGAGGAAAGCAAAGGAGGAAAGACATGAAGGAAGCCTCGAGTGAAGGCCATGAAGGAGGAAAGATGAAAAGAGGCCACAAGAGAAGGACATGAGAGAGAGGAATGAAGGGGGGCTCTGTGCGAAGTCTGTGATGCAGGAAAGACACAAAGATGGCCAAGAGGGAAGACCTCAATGGTGGAAAGACGTGAGGAAGGGCCAGGAGGGAAGGATGCGAGGAGGAGAAACACATAGGATGCCATGAGGGAGGGAAGTGAAGGAGGAAAGACATGAAGGAGGCCATGAGGGAAGTCTGCAAATGGATAAACCTGAAGGAGGCCGCAAAGCAGGCCACGAAGGAAGAAAGATGAGACAGAGGCTGCAATGGAACAACAAGAAGGGAAAATGCATTATAGGAGGCCATGAGGGAAGAAAATGAAAGAGGAAAGATGTGTAGAAGGCCATGAGGGAAAGCTGCAAAGGAGGAAAGACACAAAGGAAGCTGTGAGGGAAGGCTTCAAAAGATGAAAGAAGTGAAGGAGGCTGCGAGGGAAGGTTGCAAAGAAGGAAAGACACTCTAAGGAGGTCATGAGATAAGGCTGCGAAGGAGGAACAATGCTAAGGAGACTGTGAGGTAAGGATGTGAGGAGGTGAAATGAATAGACCTCAGGGGAAGAAAGAGTAGGAGAAAATATGTGAAGGAGGCTGTGAAGAAAGATTGCGAAGGAGGGAAGATACAAAGGAGGCTGCAGGGAAAGGCTGCAGAGGAAAAACATGGAGGTGGCCAGGAAGGAAAACCATGAAGGAGGAAAGATGCAGGAGAAGGTGCAAGAAGAAATGCAAAGAGGCCCTGAGAGGGAGGATGGATGTGAAGGAGACCAGGAAGGAAGGATGAAAAAGAAGAAATACAGTAAGGAGATCAAGAGGGAAGACCACAAAGAAGGAAGGATACAAAGGAGATGTGGTGTAGTGTAAGTTCCTTGCTGGTTGCTATGCTTGGCTGTGGGCTGTGGGCTGTGGGTGACCCCCACTGGCAGCTGTCTGTAAGCACGGCTCAGCAGAGGCTGCCTTACTGCCCCAGGGCAGTGGCTAAAACCAGTTATACAAGTTAAGGGAAGAGGCTGAACAAAGGAACTGGGGGGTTGGGGAAAGAGTTCATGAAAGAACCAGTCTAAGGAGAGGGCTGGAATCCACGGGCCTAGGAACCCCATCTCAAGGGGTCTGAGGTATCCTGGCCCAGACTCCTGTAAACACACCACATCTATGCTGTGCTGTATCCTGGAGAAGCAATAAAACCCCTCTATTCTACTGGCTGGCGGAGTCTGTTCTTGCTGCTATGAGGGTGCAGGAATGGGGGAACCCCGACTGCGTCATCACAGGAGGCCACAGAGGAAGGATGCGAGGAGGAGAAACACATAGGATCCCATGAGGGAAGGAAGTGAAGAAGGAAATACATGAAGGACGCCGTGACGGAAGGCCACAAAGGAGGAAAGACCAAAGGATGCTTAAAAAATTAATTGTCCTGTAGCATATCAGAGACTAATATATATATACTAGCCAATTAGCCTGTCATAAGACAGGATTTTCAGGCCTCTCATCCAGGTCAGTCTTCTCTCCTGAGCATCCAGTCTCTCGCTCTGTCTCTCTCTCTCTTCTCCTCCTACTGCCTCCCCCCCCTCTCTCTTTGCTGTCTTTGGCCTCCTGCCTCTCTGTCTGTCTCTCTTTTTCTCTTTTCCCCCCTCTCCTGCCTCTCACTCGGGGGATCGTGGAGCCCAAATGGCCGTTTGGGCTCTGCACTCCCAGTGCTGCATGTAGCGGCCTGGCTGAGCAGCACAGAAGTCAGTCGAGTGCCACAGTGGGAGGTGAAGGAGAGTGGGGCAGTGATGTTCACGGCCAGGGGGCGGGGCCTGGAGCCGCTGTCACGCCGCATGTCACCGTCCCACCCCCCTTCCCTTCCCGCTGTGGCGCTCGGCTGACTTCTGCGCCCCTCAGCCGGGCCACCGTGAGGGAGCAAGCGGGGCAAGTGGCCATTTGGGCCCCACACACCCCATGCAGCACGGGCCACCCAGAGGGAACAGCCAGCATTTCAGCAACAGCGCCACCCAGAGGGA